GGCCTCGCAAGAGGGGGGGGGGGGTAACAGACACACAGCAAAACCCCCGGCTTGTATGTTGCCACACCAGCACGTTCCCTGCTTATAGGCTTAATTAAGGCTAACAGACTTTTCTCTGTGTGTGTTAGTTTTATTTAATGGGGACAAATTAATTAAGGCCATTAAGATGTGTCATTTGCGGAATTCCTGCAGAATCGTCGAGGATTTGGGAGAAAATGACTACATTTGACTTAAGGGAACATCAATAATATAATATCGTACAAACAGGAAGGCTCATTTGGCTCCCTAGGTAAGACCAAAAAAAAAAAAATCCTTGATAAAAATCAAATGGTACTTGACATTTGGCTTCCTGTGCTGCAGGAACTTCAGTCATAACGCCCCCCCCCCGCGCCCCCTTCCCCTTTTTAGGATTATTTCACACTCCTTCTCATTAATGCGCCGGTGGATTTAATCAAGCTTATCTTTCACGCACATACCTAGGATAAGCCTCAAATTAACCATCTGCACTGATGATTTTTGAAAAAGTGTTTCAGCCAAGCAGGAAAAAGGTGGCAAAAGACAACATTTAGACGAGCAGCAACTCATTAATCAACGAAATCTATCTAAAAGACACATTTTATTTTACTTCTTTTTATTAATCCAACAAAAAAGAAACAACATGCATGTCAAGTTTGACTTACTGACAAAATTGGACCCGATAGCGAGACGCTGGTCCTATAAAGATTTTTTTTTTTTTTTTTTTACCATTTGGGTCGTTTTTCGAGTTAATCACACCAGTTTCTAAAATTCGAGTATTTACGTTTAGCTTTAAATTTGTTGGACATGGAAAATGGGGTGTTGAAATTTTACATCAGGGCAGAAGTGACCCGCAATGCAATAATGTCAATTTCACAAACGCTGACAAGTGAAAATGATTTGCCTTGAATACCATTCGGAAAGCTCATTTTGTTCTATCGCACACACGTTGGCAAAAGCGCAAATAATATTCTCGTGTAAATTATCCGTAGTGATTGAAAACAAATCCCTTGGCTTTACATATAAATAGCTTTTTGGTGGGGGGGGGCGGGGGGTTGTTGAACATGCAGCAGCTGTTCTTAATGATGGGGTGAAGTCTGGGCTGGGCGGGGGGGTTATACAAGATATCATTTTCAATTTGAAATAAAACAAATATGAATTTGACTGCAGAACATATCCACGGGATACATACCTACGCATTCTTTTTAACCTCCAAGGAAAATGCCACGTTTTACTTCTCCGGCCATTAAGACGTCGACGACGTCATGGGAGCGGTCTGCCTAATTTTCGAGACAGGAAGACAAAAGCAAAAGACTTCGCTTTTTATTCATTCTGCATGGAAAAGTTCGACTGCAAGTTGAGCGGGTGAGGACTGAAACGTGAGTGCCAACTGTGCGTGCGTGTGTGGTGGTGGTGGTGGGGGGGGGGGGACTTTAAGAGTTGACATTTTTTTGCACACGAAACGATGAGTTACACTCCTGTTGTGATTGCTATGCGTGTTATCCCCTTTGCTCGTCTTCCAGCTGGCGGCCTGACAGAGCTCGAGAGGCGAAGAGACACAAACACAAACAAACAGACAAACAAAAAAAAAAAAAAGAAGTAGCGTAAACACGCGAATCACAGCACATCAAAGCACGCAGGCAGGCTGGTTGCGGAAACACAATACACGCTTAAATCATGAAAATCATGTTGCATGCATGAAGTTGATATATATATATTTTTTAACTCTGCAACATGGTCACATATCGAGATATATATATATATATATATATATATTTTTTTTTAACTCTGCAACATGCCCCCCCCCAAAAAAAACCCCTACAATATCCACATTGCGGTTTAATTATGAGCGAGAGTGGTACCTCGACTTACGAACATCTCTTCATTCGAAATTTTCAAGTTACAAAACGCCACAACAGGAAAATATCGCCTCTTGTTATGAAATAAATTTCAAGATACCAAAGGTAAAAATACAGTATGGGCTGCAACTCGCTGCTCCAAGTTTCCTGAACGCAACATGGTTTTAGCTGCTATGCCATTGGCTATTACCGAGCATCTTCCTGGCGTCCCATTGGCTAAGAGTGTGTCTGTAGATAGATTTTTGTCTATGCAGTGTACTCTTGGCCAGAAGCCGTTCCGATAGTTTTACGTAAATGTGAATCCCCCCTAGAAAAAGTGTTCACCAATCGGGCGATCGCTCACGATGCTGATAGTTGCCTTGGACATCTTCGAAGAATTGTTAAAAGCCGGCAAAAGCAAACGTCCTTGGATCAGTTGTTAACAAAACGGCAGGCAAAAACCACTTCTGATCGAGAACATGAACTACAGAGGGCAAAAAACAATGATGCAGTTAAAAGTTAAATGACCATCATTTTTAGTCTTTATTCTTTGTTTTTTACATGATGCAAAACTCTCATTTATTGTGCAATGATCTCATTGTAACATGTATTTGTAACATATTTTGATGCATTTTTATGCTTTATAAAACATTTATGTCTGAATTTTTTTTTTGGCGGGGGGGGGCTTGGAACGCATTAGGGCATTTACATGGAAAACGCAACTCTACTTACAACATTTTCTAGTTAAGAAATTTCTTCCAGAACCAATTAATTTTGTACCGTAATGTCTAGACCCCGAATATAAGACGACCCCCACCTTTTCAGTCTCATTTCAATGCAAAAAACACTGTCTTATATTTGGGCCAATACAGTAAGTAGAGGTACCACTGTATTTACATTTACATTCCGTTAATCAGAATCAGCTAAAGAAGTGAAGACAACAGCTCTTAAAAATGAATGAAAAACACAAAACATGTTACATGACCACCTCATTATTTATCTTTGTAAAGACAGAATGCTTGATATAGCTCTGGCATTGACTTATAATACACTGTGCATGTTGTGCGGTGAGCATATAGAATTCGACATATGGATCAACTGCAATATATGCACCAATTAGCACCTTTTCTAGCGATGCCATTCGAAAATCTGCACTTTGTAATTGCTTTCACTTTGGTCAAATAGCTTTATTGGCAGACTGTTTGCCATACAGGATGTTCACCGTAAGTGCAGTCAATTAAAAGGCGCTGTTCTTAGAAATCCAAAGCGTCAAATATAAAAGGCGGTTCGCCAATCACTTTCTGAAATGGCATTTTTTTGTTGTGCTATGGTGATGATGCCAATGAAACCATTTTGGGGCAAGAAAAGACCTTTTATAAGTTGCTACTGATAAATGTGTGCTAAAAATGATGGAAAGAGATGTGGTCAGTCGTTTTTGGTAGTTCTGTACTAGCACATCGACACAAATGTCCTCCATTGTCACGGTCAAACTTTGTCGTCATGTATTGTTACTTTCGCAAAACTTCCCCTTTGAGATGTGTTTGCAAATTCCACCAGTGGAGTGATGACTGAGGACTGTAAACAACAGGGGTGGCAAGTAAAGTGATCCAGAATCAGGAGAAGTTGCCGTTTAAAAGCGGCAGATGGTGAAAAAGAATGTTTCACAAAACTCTGGTTTGGAGAAAGTCGAGAAGCTACGATTTGTCTCTCTCTTCTATATCTTTTAAAACAAGGACAAATTAGTGCAACCAACCTGCAGGTCCCAGTTTGACCCCTCCATTGATGTAAGCAATTCTTTTTTTTTTTTGTGTCCGATCAATGTGAAGCACCAAGTTTGCCAGAGTCACACACAAAGAACCCCGGAGAACATCCCGAGCTGCAGCCTTGAAAGCTTTTGTGAGAATCAAACTGTCATTTGGTCAATAGCCGAAAGGCTGCAAGAGAGGGGAAAAAAAAAGGGGAAGCATCAACTGAGGCGAGCCGTTTGCTTGTGATTCGGGGGACGGTGACATCCGTGCGGGCTTCAGACAGCCAGCAGGATGTCTCAAATATCAATAAGACTCTCCAGAGCTATCGCAGCGGGGTGAAGTCAATCGGAGAAGAACAATCCAAGTGTGGAAATTTGACTCAACACCGAGAAGCAACCTAACTTGCTTATCAAGCTTGACTAACTATTTAGGTTCTAAGTTTGGGTGCGTTTGAAAAATACGGCGAATGCAACTGAAGTGGTACAGTTGGGAATGAAACCATGATTTTCATCAAACCTCGAAAGTAGTGGGATGAGTCAATTTGATTACTTGGCGTTGACGTTTAAAGCTTGAAATCGACTCATCGCAAATCATGTGATTTTGGCATCTTTTTATTCCAACGGGGTCATTTACAGAGGATTTTCGATGCTCTGTGGAGCAGCGAGATGTCCGGCCAAGACATTGTGACACGGTCTCTATTTTTGCGTGGGCCCAAAAAATAGGAATACAAGCTTAAAAAAATAAAAAATAAAATAAGATGACTGTATTATTGCTCTTTTAGTTTTACTTGCAATATTTACGTTGGCCTCGTGATGGTTAAGAGCAGACCGATTAATTGTTCGTCCGATTTAATTGGCTGATATTAGCTCTTTTAAAATCAGCAAAAATTGGCAGATTTTAGCCAGTTTCTATTTTTCCTCGCTCATAAACATATTGCAACAGAGGACAAAAGTCATTCAAGCATCCTGACCCCCAAAAATCAGAAAAAAAGGTTTTCCTGTTTTTCTGTGTTTTGTAAAATTAAATAATATAGCAGCACCAAGTATTGCTGCCCTTAATTCCTATCTTTATTTTGTGCATGCTAAGGGAGTCAAAAAAAGAGATTATTTCATTCCTTAGATATTTTTAAAATTAATCGGCTGATTAATCAGTTATCAGAATTTTAATCAACCAAACATCAGGCCGATATCAAACATTGGTATCGGCCTAAAAAAAATCCATATCAATCCGGCCCTAGTTAAGATTTAAAGTTACAAATGCGACTTATATTGCCTGAACAAATGGTATCCGTGATTGAGTAAGAGCATATAAGCCATTTTAGCGAAACACACCCTCACGCCCAACCCTGGCAGCGTGCAAATGTTGTCATTGGGGGCTTTGCGCTCTGGTGATTTGTATGAAAGCGACAAGTCTTTTCCTTTTTGCCGACTTACCGAGGAATCTTTGCCCCCGGAGGTTAACAAAGCGTGAAGTGTGAAAAACTTCCAGAGATGGGATGAGTTAAAAACTGTCATCGAAGCTTCATGCGGTACTTTCTACATTTATTTATGTACGTGTGGCTGCTTTAGCAGAAGACTTTAATCTGCGGACCATCTGCTGCCATCTCGTAGGGGCCATCTCGTGTGTCCAAAATGAATGGAAATTGTAACAAGAGCTGAGCAAGACCTCCCCATTCAATTTAATACCTACCTCAACCTAGTTCAGTTACAATTCCCCACATCAAGGTAGGAAGTAAATTTACTCTACAAAAGTATGCTTATCACAATTCACCCCACTCGCTCTCGATGTTACGGATTCCAGTAAAGAAGAGGATCAACAGTGGTTAAATGAGCCATTGGTTGATTTGATCTAATCGTTCGGATGCAGAGGGGTGAACATGTCCGTCAAAAAAATCTCCAATCAGACAGCAAAAAGTCATCAAATTTGATGTTTGAAGGTTTGAAATGAACGTGAAATCAACGCTAGTTTCATAAGCCGTCTATGGCGTTATGCATTGCGTGTTAGCATTGACCAAGAAGGACAAAATGTTATTTTGATACACAAAGTGGAATTCTCTTTGTTTGATGTTTAGTTTGACAGTAAAATTCAAGTAGGAGTGGCAAAAAACGGCTGAAAGAAAACACTTGATATTTCTTTGAATTGTTCACAATCTGCCAAACTGCTGCTTGTTGCAAAGTTTGCTGCCACAATGGTGGACGTACATTTTTTTTTCCTCACTGCTCAAGACAAAAAAAAAATCGATTAAAAAAATCACTTACTGAGTGAATGAATTCAGTGCAGGTTATAATTGGTTCAATGCGTTAGAGAATACTATTTGACGCTCATCTTAATTAAAAAAAAAGCTTTTTCAAGCGAGAAAAATAAATCTTTGTTAACTATTGTTTTACATGGAATCCTACAAACAGGCTAATACAAAACTTCTTAACAGAGTGACAGAATCTCTGCAGTCAGTCAGTGCAGTTCACACTTTGACCTTCATAATGGATACAGTGCACGCCTAAGGGAGACTTGACTAATAGACATTTTGGGCTGCAATTAAAAACACCCTGACAAGAGTTGCAAATGCGAGAGGGAATCCAAGACGTTCACAATTAAAGCGCGACTGCAAACCTTCTGAACACCATCAAGGCCAAGACCTCACATCTCACCATTACATGCACATTATTTAATCCCCCGGTGCACCCCGCTAACTACTGACATGTACACTTTCTGTCATGAAGCTCAGCGACAGGAGCAGACACTCCACTCTGGGTCCACTTTTTCATTTAATGGCCCGAGGGGAGTGAGTGTTCAACTAGGCCTGAAATGTTCTAAATACATTTAAAACGCTCTATGGGGGTGAAGCGTGTTACAGCATTGTGGCACTCGATCACTTTAGGAGCAGTTGAGATTGACAGTCCAGCAACATTTCAATATAGTAATGGAGGTGTCTGACATGAAGCTCTCTGAGCTGTGGTCAGATGAGCCAAACTCTGGTGGTCCTGTCAGAACCGGTACTAGCCCCACATTTTTTATTTATTTTTATGAAATATAATTTGATAAATTCCTAGGATTTCATATTATTTCATGGGGTTATTGAATTGCATGGCCATGACTTAGTACTAATCTCACGAAAATCAAGGCTTTATATTATCATATTCATTATGTTCCAAAATCAATTACAAAATTATTAAAAGAATTCCATAGCACTTACAGTCCACCACTGGATGTGTATATATTTTTTTGTTTTATAATGCTAGCAAGACCCAAACGTTTTCGTGACAGTTTTTGTGTGAAGACATATTTTGAAGCCCTGGCACTCTAAAATAAATAAAAAAATAAAAAAATAATATTGAACATTATCACTCACTTTAGCTTCAGCGAGCCCAGCGATGAAGCTTCACTTTGCTGCCCTTGTTCCTTACCCCGAGTATGACTCTATTCAGGCGGTCATCTGGCTAGCTGAAGCTAGCAATATGAGGCTAACGTGCTCCTTTATCAAGTCAAGCATGTGTTGGTTGCATTTTTTTTCATCTTTAATGTCATCAGAACATCCTGTAGGTGTTTCAGTGATGAAAGAGTTTCGGTTCAAATCCGAAAATGCCCATTTGAGCCATTTTGGAGGCCAAAAATGTTCAGTGATGTAGAAATTTGCACTGGCCCATTTGGGCCGGTGTCTGACAGTGGCCCAACATCGTGGAACACTGGCCTTAATGCTACCTTTAATGTTGAACCCTGTTTATGTAAGTTGGAAAATAAAAAACACAAACCTCGAGTCAGTCTCAAACCTATTGTGCAGAGGCAGCAAGCAAATGAAAGGTGATAACGGGACACAATCAATGGCGCTCACCTCTCGGAGGTGTGAGCACATCCATCAGCCAAGGCGAGGACGACCCGGGAGGCCCGAGCATTATTGACAGCGTGAGGGGAACCTGCGGAGGGAACATTTTAACACATGGAACACTTATTTAGCTTCTATTGACGGGGAACCGGAAACTTTCAAAGTAAATAATTATACCACCATGTATTTGGTTAAACCAGATATATAGCTACTTTCGAGAAATCCATACATCCACTTTCCCTGTCGTCTTGAAGCGTAATGTTGATATAAACCAGTAATGCAAGAAAGGCTCCAAAACATGTGTACTTGTTTGGGTCTACATGTAACATAAAACAAAAAAAACACTGCTTAGCATTTAGTCTGCTAGCTTAATGCTAACGCCAGCGCATCATAGGAAACTGAGAACAATTTCAACAGCTGATATTTGAGCATTACCTGTGCAGCAACATATTTCCACATTCACGATAACAGTACTCGGTCATATATTCTTTATCTGCGTATCGATGGGCGAAGATGATTTGCAATATGAGGGAAATAAGCTAGGCACATGGTACAGTAGATTGGTCACCCCCTGTGGGATTGCTATGATACATCACGATGGATGCATTTGGCACAGTGATTAAATCTTTCCATGCGGTTGAGGTAAGTCGACGTCAATCCATTTCATAATTGACTTTTATTAACATGTTCTTTTGAAACACTTCGATTAACATGTTAATTAGCATAGCGGGTTTAGACACCAATTACGGGTTAGGACTTCATTCATGAATTATCATAAATTAGCGCAATGTCTGGCGTGAATCAGTTGCATGTGGGGTGATCAATTGATATCTTTCTTTTTTTTTTACCATATTTTAGAGATGACATTTCCAATAAATAAACGTTTGTACGCCACATGCCTCAACGTGTGCGATTTCCAATTAGAGAGAATTCCGATTTCAATAAGAGACCACGCCGACAAAAGCCCGCTCGCTCACGCATCTTTAAAGCGCCTCTGCAAATTAATGAACAGAACACGAGAGGAGGAAATGATTCCTCCTGAGTTCTCTTGGGCAGATAATGATTCTCATCTTTATCAGCGGTTCATCTTCTAAGGTCAAGTGAAAGTGAAAGGGATGCAGCCCGCCCCCAGTGTTTCCAATTAAGATGAGAGAAAGAGAAGAAAGAGAGTGGCGCACTAGCGCCGGGCTGCATTTTACACAGCCGCTTCCTGGCCCCTGAAGTATCCGCAGGCAATAGAAAACAAGACGATTAAATTATGACACCTATGAGTCATAATAGACTCACCAGCCAAAGTGAGATGAATGCAGTCGCACACATTAGCACCTTCGGAACTGTGCTCTTTGCTTTGTATGTAAAAGACTGAAACTGGATTGATAAAATGGAGAAGTTTGGTGTGCGTTTTGCAGGTGTCCCTGTCATAACTGGGTAACTGGCCCTTTAAGAAACGCTCTGATTGTTTTTCAATGACATTATGACCAACTTTTTGTTCAATAGTTACAGAAATAAATTGTTCTGTTTCATAATCGATTTTTAAAAATCATATTATGTTTGTGGTTGGATGTTGTCAAACATATGTCCACCCTCTCATAATGAAATATCAAGTGATATAAAAACATTTCAGAAATTCAACATGTATTCAATAAGCAGAAAGCTGTCTGCTAGCTAGCTAAATCACGTTGCTAACTGAAAGTCGAGCACTAGCTTACAGCGCTAACAGTACCCAAAAAAATGTCCGCCCTGTCGGGAAGCTCACAAATTTCGCTATTTGGATTTATGAGGTAAATTGCTCGTTTGCAATTCATTGATATGAAAAAACAGTGGGTGCTTGTCCAATTTTCAAACGCATATCATCAATTTAACACAATGGCCTTGAATGGAAAATTGTGACCTTTTTTTGGGTTGACGTTTCAGTCTCCTCTCATCATATGTACTGGGCAGGCATCCCTAATGAAGTGGCCTGTGATGTGGTTGGATGTTGTCAAACATAATATGTCCACCCTCTCATAATGAAATATCAAGTGATATAAAAATGTTTCAGAAATTCAACATGTATTCAATAAGCAGAAAGCTGTCTGCTAGCTAGCTAAATCACGTTGCTAACTGAAAGTCGAGCACTAGCTTACAGCGCTAACAGTACCCAAAAAAATGTCCGCCCTGTCGGGAAGCTCACAAATTTCGCTATTTGGATTTATGAGGTAAATTGCTCGTTTGCAATTCATTGATATGAAAAAACAGTGGGTGCTTGTCCAATTTTCAAACGCATATCATCAATTTAACACAATGGCCTTGAATGGAAAATTGTGACTTTTTTTTTTTGGTTGACGTTTCAGTCTCCTCTCATCATATGTACTGGGCAGGCATCCCTAATGAAGTGGCCTGTGATGACGAGACACAGAGTAGCCTATTCACTGATTAAAACTGCGTTGAGCATTAATCTCAGGGGGTGGGGGGGGTTGCTATAGGTGCAGTATGTTGCTATCCCATGCTGATGGTGGTGGAAGATATCTAAACACGCTGCGTCCGGTAATGAATTGGGTGGCAGGCAAAGAAAGAGGCTTACAAGGTTTTACAAGCAGGGGTGTGACTTTGAAATTCTGCCTCCTCTGAAAGTCGAGCACTAGCTTACAGCGCTAACAGTAACCAAAAAAAATGTCCGCCCTGTCGGCAAGCTCACAAATTTCGCAATTTGGATTTACGAGGTAAATTGTTCATTTGCAATTAATTGATATGAAAAAAAAGTTGGTGCTTGTCCAATTTTCAAACGCATATCATCAATTTAACACAATGGCCTTGAATGGAAAATTGTGACTTTTTTTTTTTGGTTGACGTTTCAGTCTCCTCTCATCATGTGTACTGGGCAGGCATCCCTAATGAAGTGGCCTGTGATGACGAGATACAGAGTTGCCTATTCACTGATTAAAACTGTGTCGAGCATTAATCTCAGGGGGTGGGGGGGTGCTATAGGTGCAGTATGTTGCTATTGCGTCCCATGCTGATGGTGGTGGAAGATATCTAAACACGCTGCGTCCGGTAATGAATTGGGTGGCAGGCAAAGAGGCTTACAAGGTTTTACAAGCAGGGGTTTGACTTTGAATTTCTGCCTCCCGACAACAATTCAGACCGGACCAACTTCCCCTCAGTAGACTTGTTGTCATATAACAGGAGAAGAGCACCTCAACGCCAGCCTCCACCTCGGGGTCCCATGCTAAGAAGACTCACAAGAGCGTCAAATAAAAAGACTTTCTGCAGCACTGAAAAATAGAAGACAGTCCCCCCCCCCCCCCCCCCCACCCCCGACTGAAAAGTGTTTGAAAGAGCCCTCAATCAGCTGATAGAGGAGGAGGCAGTGGTGTGAGCATGTGCTTAAGCATATTATTCAGTTCGATTGCATGCTGGCTTTTCATTCTCCGCACATTGTAGCCCAGCCCAAAAATAAGTGGGCATAAATTGCAAATGAATACCTCTTGATGATGGGATAGGGGTGGGGTCGAATTGGATACTATCCATGTGCCACCTTCAATGAACACTTCATTAGGTACACCTAAAAATCTATATTTTTAGTTCGTCACGTGTATTATTGGATTGTTGTTTGCTTTGGTGGAAAATGTAATGAAAAGGCCAATTCCTCAAGACTATCACTGCCATAATAATATTGTGGACTATTCGAACATACAGAGTTGGGCGGAATGATTTTGATTAATAAAGTAAGAGCAATTTTTCTCCCCCAATATTGCGATTTAATACCTGATTATTTTTTTATAAAAATCCTCTTTGGATGTTTTTTTTTTTTAACAATCAGAACCAATACATTAATCTTTATGAACACATTGGAAAATTATCTTTTCTTTTTTCCATCAATACATTAATCTTTATGAACACATTGGAAAATTATCATTTTTTTTCCTTCCATCGGACTTCTCCGTATTGGCAATATCGAGGAAAACAAACCATGAGATTTCGCCGACAGAATCAATTGATCCCTTATTGGCTTTAGCGCTCTAAAGAGTCACTGTTATTCCCTCCGAACCAAATGGGCGCACAAGGCAGGGCACAACAAGCAATCCCTCTGCTGCGGCGGTCCACAGATGGATGATTTCTCCCGAGTCGGGCTGAGCTGCATTGATTCGGCGACATCGGGCGGATGTCACACATGCACTCGACAATGCTCGATGACTTTGCCATCCCATTCCCATTTAAATTGCCTGTGTGTTTCCTGCTCTGACACCTGTTTAAATCGATGCCTTCCTCTGCAGGTCATGGACGCGGCGTGACCAGGCGCACCGCCGCCGCCTCTCAAATCCACTAAAATCAACACAATAATTGAAATATTTTCAAACTGATTACACCCAAGCCCCGCCGCCCGGCCGCCGGATGGAAGCGCATTGTCTAGTTGCCAGGGGGAGTAAATCATCTTGCGTTATTTGATTTGGCTTACTGATATGAAACCGCGAGTCCATCCATTAAATGCCTCGCGGTGCAGCACCTTGGGGAGGGACGGCAGAGAGAGAAAACACAAAATAGTCAGCGGCAACCTTTTAAAACGGCATCTCTAACGTCCCTTCTCAGAGGGGACCTCTGCACAAATCTATTTGTTCCTGACCAGATAAACAAAGCTCAGCTTCCACTTTCATCAAAGCAGAACAAAAAAGACAGCGTAATATACCAGACTTCTCGCTTCTATAAAGCGGCCGAGAGGAATCGTTGGCTCTATTTGGCCAATATCGCATCCCAGGAGATAATAGTCAGTCAAATACAATACCTTTGACTGAGTAATAAACTGCCAGAAAAGGTGCATCAACTCAAGTTCCGTGGCAAGTGCTGCAATTTAGCGAGTGCCTTCAGACATCTCTGTCGGGGAAAACAGCAATGCCCCAAAATAGTGGTCAACTTTAACAATATCATCGCAGCAAAGCACCGCAAACGACAAGTCCAATGAGACATTTTTTGGTTGAATGAACTACTTCTCTGGCAGTTGCCAATCAAAAGTCAACATCGACACCGATTACATTCTAATCATTCACCGATAAATGGGCTGAAGGCGAAAAATTTTCATCCTCTGCGATCAGTCAGCAACGGCGCGGTTATTGG